TGCTATCAGCGAAGACGAGAGAAAAAAGTACATAGAACAAGGGGTACGAAAAGACCAGCAAGCTTTCATTACGAACACCAAAGAGATCATAGGCGATTCACATTAAACTGTTTCCTCGAGGTCAACACGACACAGGGCGATCACAATAGTGTCACGTGATCAGGAAAGTGCTAGTTCGCGGTCATAGTGACCGGGAAGTTAACTGGGGATTCAAAAGTAGTATATACAATGGCGGCGAGATCTAAGGGACTGACAAAAGCTTTATTTATGAAATAAAGCTTTACAGCGACCTTTCTTGAAAGTGATCTCGGACTATCATTGTATATACTACAGCACCCATGGTTACACGTCTCCTTCTCATCCCCACACTTCTCTGCTGCAACCACTGAAACATACAGCACTCATGGTTAAACGTCTTTGCTGCAACCACTGAAACATACAGCACTCATGGTTACACGTCTCCTTCTCATCCCCACACGTACTGCTGCAATCACTGAAACGTCTCTGCTGCAGCCACTGAAACATACAGTCTCCTTCTCATCCCCACACGTCTCTGCTGCAACCACTGAAACATACAGCAGCCATGGTTACACGTCTCCTTCTCATCCCCACACGTCTCTGCTGCAACCACTGAAACATACAGCACTCATGGTTACACGTCTCTGCTGCAACCACTGAAACATACAGCACTCATGGTTACACGTCTCCTTCTCATCCCCACACGTCTCTGCTGCAACCACTGAAACATACAGCACCCATGGTTACACGTCTCTGCTGCAACCACTGAAACATCATCACGTCTCCTTATCATCCCCACATCGTCTCTGCTGCCCACTGAAACATACAGCACTCATGGTTACACGTCTCTGCTGCAACCACTGAAACATACAGCACCCATGGTTACACGTCTCTGCCTTCTCATCCCCACACGTCTCTGCTGCAACCACTGACCACTGAAACATACAGCACCCATGGTTACATCGCACACGTCTCTGCTGCAACCACTGAAACATACAGCACCGTCGTCTCTGCTGCAACCACTGAAACTCATCCCCACACGTCTCTGCTTCAACCACTGAAACATACAGCACCCATGGTTACACGTCTCTGCTGCAACCACTCACAGCCCCATGTTTACACGTCTCTGCTGCAACCACTGAAACATAACGTCTCTGCTGCAACCACTGAAACATACAGCACTCATGGTTACACGTCTCTGCTGCAACCACCACATACAGAGCCATGGTTACATCTCGCATCTCATGGTTACACGTCTCTGCTGCAACCACTGAAACATACAGCACTCATGGTTACACGTCTCTGCTGCAACCACTGAAACATACAGCACCCATGGCTACACGTCTCTGCTGCAACCACTGAAACATACAGCACCCATGGTTACACGTCTCTGCTGCAACCACTGAAACATACAGCACCCCACACGTCTCTGCTGCAACCACTGAAACATACAGCACATGGCGTCTCTGCTGTTACTGAAACATACAGCACCCATGGTTACACGTCTCTGCTGCAACCACTGAAACATACAGCACCCATGGCTACACGTCTCTGCTGCAACCACTGAAACATACAGCACTCATGGTTACACGTCTCTGCTGCAACCACTGAAACATACAGCACCCATGGTTACACGTCTCTGCTGCAACCACTGAAACATACAGCACCCATTGTTACACGTCTCCTCACCCCCACGCGTCTCTGCTGCAACCACTGAAACATACAGCACCAATGGTTACAAGTCTCTGCTGCAACCACTGAAACATACAGCACTCATGGTTACACGTCTCCTTCTCATCCCCACACGTCTCTGCTGCAACCACTGAAACATACAGCACTCATGGTTACACGTCTCCTTCTCATCCCAAACCACTGAAACAAACAACATCGTCGCCATGTTGACGTGAATGCTACATGATTTCATTCTGTGACATTTGTTATGTTTAATTACTTGTCTCTGCATGTGCTCCCGAGGTGGCATGGTCGGCTCTCCCTTCTTCAAACACCTGATATTTAACTGTTGGTTGTGATTCATACATGCTTTTGACATAGTCGGAATCGTACCATGGAGCTTTTTAAAGTACACAAAAACTTACACGATTACAATGTTATCAGTCTAGTGAAGGTTACAAGAATATATCATACAATAGCTATGACAACCTGGTATTATGATGTGATACATATGTTAATAAACTGGCGTAGCCGGAAATAATGTATATTAGAAGCTCAAACTACCCTTCTGTGTTTCTCTGTCTTATAATATAGTTTTGAGGAAATTGAAAAGCTCCCAAAAGGCTCGCATAGTATCATTTTATTCCCAAAATATACTAAGTGAAAAAATAAGGGATCACATTAAAGGACAAGTATTCCTTTATGTTTTCCAAGGTTTCTTCACAAGTTTTGTATCACATAGCTCGTGAAGAAACCTGGACAAAATTAAGGGAACACTTGTGCTTTCATGTGATCTCTTATTTTTGTCCCTCAGTATATCCTGTTAACGATATACGGAAATACACGCGGTCATTAACATCTAAATTTGATAATTAATCTTAGGTATATAAATTCAGGTTTCCCCTTTGATGCCAGCCACACGTGATATTGGCATGTGTGCACATACGATATTCTGCCTCAACCAAAACTTGTGATTTATAAAAATAATCACCATTACCTGTTTGTGGCTGAAGCTGAAACACACAATCTGAAACGATGGTGATGTGTTTTATAGGGTATCACAGTTTGTGACCTAACGTTTGCAGTGTTTCAGGGAATGTTTTCTGATGATGATGATGATGATGATGGTGGTGGTGGTGGTGGTGATGCTTATAATGATGTTAGTAATTTTGTTGTCGAATCCATTTTGTAAGTGCGTGCTGTCTTCAGCCCTGCAGTTTATATGCATAGTCAACACGTTTCGCAGTTTTACCGTGGTGACTTTCATCTCGAACACAATATATGTCATCGTCATGATAACTTCTAGCTTGGACTTAAACCAGTAAATAATTTTAAGCCTCATTTGTAATAAATATAATATACTCAGCACACCCTTTGTGCTATAAATAATAGTCAATCCTTTACCCTTTTATTTTCAGATACATGTCTGGTATTTGAAGGACCGTGCTCCATAGAAATACTCTTCACAGGAAAGGGCTGCCATACATTCTCAACCACCTGTTACACATGCCAGAATTTTCCTTTTTCAATTTCCAAATGTTCAAGTACAATGCTGAATTTGTGCTGTCAAGCTACAGAACCCTGCTTTCTGATTGGCTCATGTCTTCATCATATTCGTCATGTTAAAGGTCGGTCAGAACTTTGAATAGAAGGAGGGAGGAAAATATGCGTTATTCACTTTTTCCCCGACTAGGCCTTTTAATTTAGTCCACAAATCATCATCCAAAATACCATTTTACAGGTAATTTTTTTTATAAAAAATGCATATTATCAACAGATTTAGAAACGTTGTAAGTTACGTCACAATCTACAATGGGTGGTAACAACTGCCTACAGTACTGTTCAAACGAGAAGAAGACCGCCTCCGTGGTGTAGCGGTTAGAGCGTCCGCCTGGAGAGCGGAAGGTTGCAGGTTCGATCCCCGACCGCGTCATACCAAAAGACGTTAAAATTTGGTACTTGTTGGTCCCTGTCTGGCGCTCGGCATTAATGGGTACAACAAGGACTGGTCGGCCCGGAGTCAGTATAATGTGTCTGAGTGGGGTATTCATGCTTCACTGCGGCATGGTATCTCAGTGGGCTAGCACTATAAAACCAGCTTAAGTCTGGGCTAGTACAAGCAGCCGCACATACACATACACACGCATGCACATCGTCATATGAGCGAAATATTCTCAAGCACGACGTTAAACCCAATTCCACCTCACCTTACCTCACCTCACCTCACCTCACCTCAAACGAGAAGATACAGAAGGATTGCATTGCCATAGCGATTGCGCAATTGACAATCAAAGCTATGAATGAACTCGTAAAAACAGTAAACTTTCAACAAGAGTACAGGCATGAAACATGTAATGAGAAAATCCTATATCAATTATTTTGGATATCAGTCAGGATAAAAGAAACAGGATGAATTGTATATGACGTTTTTCATAAAATATATTATGTACGCGAACCTATTCAAGGTAAAAATGACACTATTTTCTCTCCTGTAAACTCATCTATTTCGGATGATTTTACCCAAAGTGGTAAAACAAAAGTTGGGGAAAACAATAGCCATAGAATATTTAACAATCAAACTTTAGTTTAGTTCAAACTATGAAATAAACCCCAAACCGTTTTATTTCTATTTCCGGGAGTACTTTAACATAAATAAAATCAAAAGAGCATGTCTCATATCGTTGTTTTGCATATGCATGCATAAGATCGCTCAGCGCTTTTCTGAGCTATCTAAAACGTTCTATTTCACTGCACATGAATAGGCTGCAACACTAGACTGGTACTGGGTTGGTTTCAAACCTGACAATGCCACTGCACAACAGGTTGTTCTTCCTGTTTGTAGTGGTGGCAGCCATACCGCTCCGGCTGTCTATACGTGGACTGTTACATTGCAACACATACTGCACACACAACTCGAATGCAACTTCTGCATCACACATTTGCCACACATGTACTGAAAACCATGGTAACCGAATGATACAAATTTGACAATGTGTCCAATCATGTCATGTAAAGTCAAGGACGAGACAGCTAAGACTTTTCCGTTGTTCCAGTTCACGTCCTGACACCATAAACTACTTTAATGGAATCTAATCTTCTAATGAACGTAAGATATCATTTATTATCGTATAAGTAAATATTGTTAAGTGTGGACTACTTGTCGTACGATGAATACTTACACGATCAATGGTCATATTGACCTGAATCTAGACTCGATCTTGTGTAGCCTTCAACGATTCAGTGGCTTGTTAATGACGCAATGTACTTTATAATATTCCGTATTAACAACGAGGATTGGAAAGCAAACTTACTTGACATTGTTTCAGAGAGGAACATAAGGAGCAGCACCGACGTGTACAGTTTGACAGCCATGACTGGTAGTTGCAGCTGGTCAATGCAATCGTTGATTTGAAGTTGATATTGCTGGCATATGTATTGATCAACGCACTATATCGCGCGCCGCTTGAATGCGTACAATGCGAGCCTGCATAGAGGAAGCTCTCAGACTCACCTCAAGTGAAGACTGTATGCTTGTCGATGTTGTTCTGCTATGAAGGGTTGAATCAGATTGTGTGTTTGTGAATGAATGAATGAATGGTTTATTCTCATGAAGATCACGCAATAGTGACATAGAGAAAAATACAAATGTACAGATTTGTTTCATGGGAGCATACGTAGTCCGGTTTTCACATAGTTGCTTATTTTTAACAATAGTGCTTTATGCGTACAACACATGAGGGATATAAATTTATCTAATGATGGATAATTACAATAATAGTTTGGTAGAAATGAATTTCTTACATTACTTAAACATGGACAATATAACATGAAGTGAAGTTCATCTCCTATTGTGTTCTTACACAGTGTACATAATCTTTCTTCTTTAATAATATTATACTATCTACCTGTTTCTATTGAAAGTTTATGGTTACAAGTTCTAATATAAGTAAGCCAAATGCGTACATTTAATGGGAGGTGTAATAGATAACTTTCAAGGTATGGAGATATCTTAAACATATTATAATAGTGGCCTTTAGTAGATTTCGATTTACATTCGTTGCAGTGTTGAGAAAACTGGTTACATAATATAGACTTAAGGTTACTTTTAAGCCAAATCTTACTTGTACAGGTTTGAGACATCCATATATAGTTTAAGCCAGAACATTCCAAAATTGTTTTAACAACATTGATAAGAGGTAAATATATGTTTGGGTCATTCGTTTTCATTGTAAACATGATCCGATATAAAATACTAGACAATGTGCTAGTTGATGAGATTAGTTTGCACCAATATGAAATGATTCTAACCTTTATAAGTATATCTGTTGGATATCTTCCCAGTTCACCATATATCATAAAATCTGGTGTTGATTGCTTAACTTTTAATATATATATACAAAATTTTAAATGAACCCTTTCTAAGATAGTACTCTTCTCAAAGCCCCAGACTACGTACGTGTACGTGTTGCGTTGCGAAGCTATGTTGTCATTAAGAATTAAATCAGGGTTTCGGGAGCTGATTAGCCTTATACGCAATTGTAATGCACAGCTACCTCCCTTAGCTGCGCCAGGATCCGAAGAGTTAGATTCCCAGGTTTGCCTCGTTTACTTTCTTTAGTGGGTATTACATAAATGTCACGGGCTTCGCAAAAGTGTTAACATACCGCTGCTGATGGTGTTGTTGGTTATTTTTATTCTTGTGTGTGTGGTGCTGAACATGGCTGACTGACTGACTGAGTTTGGTTTTACGCCGCTTTTAGCAATATTCCAGTAACATCACGGCGGGGGACACCAGAAATGGGCTTCACACATTGTACCCATGTGGGGATTCGAACACGGGTCTTCGGCGTGACGAGCCAAAGCTTTAACCACTAGGCTACCCCACCGCCCTGCTGAACATGGAAGTGGAATACTGTACAGAGTAGAGTTAAACCCAACTCATACATATCTTGCTGTGGAATAAGAGCATGCTGATTCATACGAGTAGTTCATAAACTCAGTAATGCCCTGGGTTTTTATTAATAGAATTCTTGATAAGCAAAATGTCCACACAACTGTTTGTCTTTAAATCCACTGATGATTTATGCGGGATGTGTACCACCTCATAAAAAGACGGTACAAAGTGTGTAAAATAATAATAGAAGTTTTCATTTCTTGTTATGTTTTGACAAGTAATCTGTTCAATTCTAATAAAGTCTTTGGCAATTTGCAAGCAGACATGGGAACATCTGAGTCGGAACCAGAAAAGGTTCCTGTACAGCTGAAACTATATTCCCACTGCAGTGCTTAAACCTCGCGTGGCTCTTCAGCAACCCATGCTTCCCGTAAGAGGCGACTAACGGGATCGAGTGGTCAGGACTTGTTTGACACATGTCATCGCGCATCCCAATTGCGTAGGGCGATGCTCATGCTGTTGAGCACTGGATTGTCTGGTGCAGACTCAATTTTTACAGACCGCCGCCATATTGCTGGAATATTGCTGAGTGCGGGTAAAACTAAACTCACTCGCTCACTACTACTTTATCCTCCCCTCTGTATATTACAGAAGACCTGAATGAGGAAAATGTGAAGTCTCAAGATGTCCTTGGGCATATCCAAGTCATACGGAAGCAAGCAATGTGTGTGATAAGTCATCGTTTTTTTAGAGGCGGATCGAAAGGGACGAAAATTTCTAAATCCCCTGGCACGACCTTGATTGTTGAAGGTGGAATTCCTGGGTGCGTTCCTCGTCGTGGGTTCTGAAGGAGCAGAAGCCCTATCAAATGCGGAAGGTTGGAGACAAAGAGGAGGGGGAAGAACGGTGTTCGAAGATCCTCTTCGTCCCCTTGGGGGAAACTTGGTTGATCTAGCTTGAGCGACCAGAGCTGTGGCCAGTTGATGATTCAAGTTAGGAGACAATTGTGCCTCTTGAGAAGAGATAGCTTGTTTACATTGTTCATTAAATATCGAGGACGCTTCCAAAGTCTGCTGAAATAACTCCTCTTTGGTGTGATCAGGTACATCCCGGATTCCCGAGGACATTAACTTTGGCCTGTGTAGCGTCTGGTACTGCTTGATATATGACATCGAGGAAGGAATGCGTTAGTGCTACGTCATGAGCGGACATGGCCACCATGGTGTCCTCTTGTATGCAGCTGTAGTCTTCAAATATTGGTGAGAGGAGCTGCCTGACACCGGAGGCAAACCAGTCAACATAATACATGTCAATCGAAGATCTAGACGCATGATTCAAGTCTTTAATATCTCTTTGAGCAACTTGAAGGCTCGTAGAAAGAGTTTTAGCACTTTTCGGGTCAAGTCTGGAAAAGTCCTTGTCCAGTTCCGGAGCACTAGCGGGAAGTAATATATTGTGAATCATACAAGACTGCCTGTTGGCGTCATTAGGAAGCGATGCTAAATCCTTGGCCTTAGAATGCAACTTAGGTGTCTGACATGGAGGTAAGCAGCCCGACGTTCCGAATTCCGTCAATAGATCTGACCACCTTCCCGGTAGCTCTGATGTCTCTTTCCCGCGGCGGGAAGAGCAGCCGTGTGAACTGGTCTGTGAACTTGAAAAAGATAGTTTAAGTTCCTTCATTTTATTGAAACTATGTTGTTCCAAGTCCTTCAACGCAGCACTGCCGAAAGATGAGCTAAGATCATCCTTGAGAGATGATAAAAGTGAGGATAAGGTAGATAAATCCACGACTTTGGGGGACGGTTTAGTTGGAGATTTGGCGGGAGAAGTCATAGATGTTTTAGACTTTTTAACCGGTTCGGAAGATGAAGAAAGCTTACGGTTTCTTTTTTACCCAGCTTCATTCATATCTAAGGAACAAGGTGGGTCCGGGGAGCAAGACAAACAGGGAATGAGGGTCTCTCTCAGAACGAAACATTTGACATCGTACACACTTCTTTTGAGACATAATAGAGATCTTAGTAAATGCGAATTCTTGAAAATGAAACACAGATGACTTCAGAAGAAAAAAAAATCAGATGATTTCCAAAGAATAGCCGTATACACATCTTCTCTCGGCGGTTACAGAGAAATATGTGAAGTTTTAAGATGGCGGAGTACATCAAGGGACGTAACCACTGCTTCTCATCGGGACACCACATAGGTAATTACTTCCCTTGAATTTGTTATTCTTTATTTAATCTAAAGGATAGTCTGTAACACGTCACAAAGTGTAACAGGAAATGGCTAGCAGAACCCAGAGGGAGTGTTTACGCCAATAATTATTTCAGCTATACGAGAATTGGTGCTGCACACAGACATATACCATTATAAGATGTCTCATGCCACACACTGAATATTACAGCTATGTGATGGCTGATGCCTCATCTAGCAATATTTCAGCCAAATAGCGGTTTGGGTCGCATTAAATAACATCATCTATATAATGGCTGCTCACGCATTCAGAAACATCCCGGGTATGTTACAGATGCTGCTGCACTCAGATATAGAGAAGCTGGTGCTGCAATAGCATAGCTTCCCTGTGGCTCTTGCTGTATACAGCACAGGTCTGTTTGCTTGGATGTTCGTTTTTAAGGTTGGGCGAATTAGTATACCAAATGTAAGGGCTAAGGATAATGTCATTCCATGAGCCAGATCTCGATGTCCTGTGCAAGAAATAACACCACACACATTGATAGATGAAGTTTATCAAAGTAACAGTAATAGATAACATAAAGAAAACATTTCCATCATGTTACATAAACTGATATAAAATCATGAACACATGAAAGTATGGGAATACATATACATTTAGTTTGTAAGTAACAAGAGTCTGGGAGAGTCTGTGCTCAACTGGCTTAATGCAGTCTGAGACAAACAGCATGCTGTTTCATTACGGTCAATGGTCAATGCAAGATCTGGAAACACAACACTCAGTGCTGTGTTAGAGTCAGTGTAAAGTAAAGTAACACTACCGAACTGTGGAATAAAAAACACAACTAATATGATACGGTTTATATTATCTATTGTTATAACTTCTGTGGATGCAATACAAATCTAAATAAAATTTATACACACACACACACATATACATAAAAAAATAATACCAGATCTAAGTCAATATTACGAGGGAAAAAATCATTTTGCTTGATAATGGGTGTTAGTAGCTACACTGAAGTGTCGCTCATATTATATTAAAGAAGTTGTATATCCATAGAGCTCTCCTCGTTGTTCATCACATCAACTTCTTGATGTATTGATGTGCTATGATTTAACCTGTAGGCAATATAGGCATGTTGGTGTGCTGTGATGTAACCTGTAGGCAATATAGGCATGTTGGTGTGCTGTGATGTAACCTGTAGGCAATCCAGGCATGTTGGTGTGATGTGTGTAAACTGTGATGTAACCTGTAGGCAATCCAGGCATGTTGGTGTGCTGTGATGTAACCTGTAGGCAATATAGGCATGTAGGCAATGTAGACAAGGTTCTTTGTGGCTGTCCAATGGTCTGTTTATATCAGAATATAAGATTCAAAGTCTGTACAGTATTTGAGATGTCGGCACAACTGGCCAGACAAGGCAACAACGGTGTGCTGTGAGTTTCTGTAAGTTAGAGGAATCCACAAAGTCATGATTCAAACAAAAGTTCAGACATCCCAATATCCGAGGCTGGCACACCTTAATGGCTGCAGGGTGTTCCAAAGAAAATATTGGTTGAAGGTCTGCATAACCCAAAAATATTGTGAATCCTGATGCTGTGTGAGTGATGTGCCTGGCAGTGATATGGCTTGTGTGAACATCCGTGAATAACAAACATGTATGTTTTGTTACTACACACAGAATAGCTGTAATCAGCTTCTAGGAGAGAAATGAGAACTAGGCCACTAACATGTTATTCCGGAAGGCCCCTGTGACAATCATATTCTCAGGAAAGGTCAGATGGTTGGTATTTGGAGTTGCTATGTCCTGGTGAATATCCATCCCTGGACTCTGAAACTCTTATCAGCCTCTGTGTACATATTACATACGCGGTTACCGATTTATACCTCTCTATAACAAACATCTTTAATTAGTCGACTTAAAACAAATACCAACTTCAAACAGTGACACCAGAAACATTGGACATACATATATGTGCTTCATCGACGCAAGCAAACTGTTCACTAATGTTACCCAAAATAGGAATGAATTCTTAAAAGGAACACAAGAACCATTTGGAGAACAAAGGCACTCAAGGTAACAAAATCTGTAGAAAATGATTGTTGTCTTGAAGGTAGCACTCCATTTACATGCATAGGACTTTCTGTACATCTCAAGACTGTAAGGTAACAAGTGCGAGGCAGTTCTCTGTAATCAAAATGAGGCCAGACCAATCATAATAGACCAATCATAACTCTGGTTCTGGAAATGAGTCTATGGTAAATATAGCATACAACATGGAAATATTGAAAAACAGTTTTGATAAAAAATATTCTAAGTTTAGAAAAACGTTGCATTTCCTTTGTTTCAAGAATGTTTTTCTGCTCCTACATCACAGCACACTGGTAAACATACAAAAACTCAAGATTGGTCGAGCTCAATGTTATATAAATGATACAAGAATCATAGAGGTGAGAGGTGCTCAATGCTGCTTCTAAGAAATGTCTAGCTGAATTGCAGGGTGATATCGTAATGTGGAAGGAAAGTCAAACAATATGCAGATCACAGACATCTATAAGTCAGATCCCAGAAGAGGACATGGCTCTGGCAAACAAATGAACATAATATTTCAGCTTTGTGGCAATAAGATCTGTATACTGGGAAATATTCATCATGGGTTGGGGCGAGGTGAGTGTGTTGAGGTGAGGCAAGGTAAGGAGGGTTGTCAGGTAAGTTGAAAGAGCAAAAGATGGTGTGAAGCAAGGTGGGAGGCAAGGTAAGGAGGGTTGTCAGGTAAGTTGAAGAGAGAAAGGTGGGGTGAGGCAAGGTAAGGAGGGTTGTCAGGTAAGTTGAAGAGAGAAAGATGGTGTGAGGCAAGGTAAGGAGGGTTGTCAGGTAAGTTGAAGAGAGAAAGATGGTGTGAGGCAAGGTAAGGAGGGTTGTCAGGTAAGTTGAAGTGAGAAATCACCTTACAATCTTCCTTACCCACCTCACCCCACCTTTCTATATACAACTGTATAGTCCCGCATTCCTCGATGCATAAGTGTGAAAATAGTCTGTCGTACAGACCCTGAAACAAATATATCCAAGAAAGCCCATGCAAGTCTAGAAAATGTGGCAAGTCTAGATTTCCACAGCTTCAGGAAATGAAAATGAAGAAAGTCCCTGGGCTCCTTTTTATTGTATTTACAATCTTAAGTTAAAAGCTTTTATTTTCTGCAAAATATGTTCATTTCAGAGACTAACTGTTAGTCTAGTGTGAAAATAGTGGCGACATTTCATTAGAAATTGATCACTATTACTTTTGTGGATAAAATACACAGTAAGTCATTTCTTGAAAACTTTAAAACATCAAGGTAAAAAGCAGGACTTCTATTTACAAATGTCTAAAAACGTAATTTATAAAGTAGAAATATATATATATCTTATACAATATACATCCATTATAATACATTTATCAAGACAATATATACCCAAATCAACAATATAAAGTTCGCAAATCATAGAAAGAAGCACATCAGTTTCAAATCATTTCTGAATTAATTTTCAATGAAAATATATTTTCACATAAAATGAGGGACCTGCTTCACAGTAGCTGCCTCTGGTGTGTTGTTATACTGCTGGGTGAGGCTACCATACCCTGTAGGAAAGAAGAAAGGTGGCAAACAGGCCCTGAGAAACATAACCAGGCACCTGAACATGCCTCAGTGATGTCCATACCATATTTGCTGTAATAAGCAATCTGGATGTTCACCAAAATGACAAAGTTGCTGCTTATTTAATCCATTCTGTGTTTCACTTGTTTCAGAAACCGAGCCATGCTGGACAATCTTAGTACAAGAAAAAAACATAAATGAAACTTAAACTTCTCTGTAAGCGGTCTGAAAAGAAGAAGGCAGACATATATCGGTATGCCTGTCCTTGTGCTGTTTGAAGGTTTAAATATTTACTATACACAAGAAACTACAGACTTTGACTTAAAGTTTCAGTCTTTGTAGGGGATGTCATAAACACCATCAAGATTGGTCCAGATGATGGTAACTAGGTCTGGCTATCAACATAGATCATACAGATCGATAATCGTTAAAGGTCACATGCAACATAAAACAACTTTGCAGATTCTGATACCTTTCGGTATGGACTTACAGTAACAAAAGATCAAAAATGCAAATTCAACTTATAAACTTATAAAATAACACAATGAACCCCAAACCACCCCCGCGAGTTCAAATGATTCACTAAATTCACCCCAGCTGGGGTGAAAAGTGTTTTCAACAGCTGTGCTGTGCTGCGCTGCACTGCGCTCATGGCGCATGCGCAGTGCATAGGTTCACGCAGCTTGGACGCGGGATTGATTTATGGCTCATGCACCAGAGTTCTGTCCCTGTCACATTATGTAATTACACAGACAGGCAGGTGTGATACTTATACACATGACATGTTATGGTGTGTCTTGATTGAAAAATGTTATACACAAAAAATGAGCATGTATTTACAAAACCCAACATCTCTATACACACACAAAGAGTGTATTGGCAAATGAACCAGCCAATGAAAGCTTTGTTACACTTAAGTGCACACCCACCTGCTCTGACTGGGTTTGGTATCCTGGGTGCTCTGTTTCAAGGGAAGTAAGCCCAAGTACAAAACATTGCACTTTTGATTTGCAATTGTACGCTTATAATTTTGTTTATATGTTTTTTCATAATCAGCAATGTATATTATATGTCATGAATAAGTGATAATTGTGTTTTAATTATGTTTGTTTTTTTGGTTGCATGTGACCTTTAACTAAATGTCTGTCCAGATGATGATAGGAGATGTTTATGAAGACTACTTGCAGACTGGTCAAGAAGTTGGTCAATGGGCATCTATTGCAGCAGGGCGTCTGGTATGAGAAATGTGGAAGTGTAATGACAGGAAATTGTGACCTCTCCTAATACATCCTGTATCACATCTAGGATGTTATTCCATAGATAACTACTGTGGTTTTACCATGTCTTTGAGATCTTTGAATGTGCTTGACAACAAGTGTTAAAAGAATGACTGACATTCTTAGAATTGTACAAATCACATGGAGATAAAGCTATATTAAAACTGGACATTAATCCTGATGTACCAAGAACAATATTAGCATCATGTTATCCTCTATCTGATTATCTTCTAAGCTGATACTAAACTGCTATGAAAACAAGATGCTCATTACAAAATTATAGATATACATGTCATTTTCATTTTGTTTTCCGTATTGTCTGTGGTTGATCAATAACTGATAAGTATTGGTTAATATCAAACTGGCTTGAGTGAGATAATGTGTCTGAAGTGGGGTATTCATGCTTCACTGCAGCATGGTATCTCAGTGGGCTAGCACTATAAAACCAGCTTCAGTCTGGGCTAGTACAAGCAGACGCACATACACATACACACGCATGCACATCATCATATGAGCGAAATATTCTCAAGCACGACGTTAAACCCCATTTCACCTCACCTCTGTCCAGTAGACCACTCTGTCCAGTAGACTGCTCTGTCCAGTAGACCACTCTATCCACAACACTGCTCTGTCCAGTAGACCACTCCATCCACTAGACCGCTCTATCCACAAGACCACTCTATCCAGTAGACCACTCTATCCACTAGACCGCTCTATCCAGTAGACCACTATATCCACTAGACTGCTCTATCCACTAAACCGCTCTATCCACTAGACCACTCTATCCACAAGACTGCTCTATCCACAAGACCGCTCTATCCACAAGACTGCTCTATCCACAAGACCGCTCTATCCACTAGACCGCTCTATCCACTAGACTGCTCTGTCCACTAGACCGCTCTATCCACAAGACCGCTCTATCCACTAGGCCGCGGAGGTGGTTCTGACAAACCAAGATCAGATGTTCTATCCATTAGATTAAAGAGGCAGTCATATTTACACGGTAATATGAAAACATTATAAATTAATTTAGTGAAACAGGTGTACTCTCATATCATGATTCAGTAGTACTCCACAAGTAACTATAAAAACATGAACACTATACTTTCACTTGATTCGAAAAGTGCTTTCGTTCCCATCTGCTCCTTCAGATTGTCACATGAAACTATCAAAGTGACATACAAACAACAACGTACATTAGTTTCACCGGACACATATTTATGTGCCAGAAATCCCTGACTCGTACGGTCATACTTTGGTCACTCTTTGGTTTACAGACATCATCAATCACGTTATTGTCACCTTTGAAATGACACAAAAGTTTATATTAAAACTTAAACACATTAATTCTATGTCAAATGAATAATTATTATTTTGCCTTCTGTATCATTATGGCCTGAAAAATACTAATTTCCTGAAAAATATTTTACGCTGGTACTTGAACTGACACAACTTATAACTTTCATTCTTTGTTTTCTGAGGATGTTCCCACAAACAAGAACACCACCAGCTGTAAACCAAGAGTAAACAAGCAAACTGAATACTGACCACACAAAATAAGGCAACATTGTTTACAAAATACAGAGGGTTAAACTATCACCAACAGTGCTCAGGATGGATTAACCCTTTATATGACCAGAGCAACATGAGCAGTGATAATTAACCTTTAAAAACGCACTGAATAGATACCAGCTTTTAAGAACAGAACGATTATTTTACACAGTTCCACATGTTTAAAGGTTAGTTAATGGCTAAGTTACAATATACTTGCAGTAGAATTTCAAACCAATGAATTTTGTTTTCCCAAACCCCTTGAGTTGACTGAACAAACACTGAAGCTATCTTTTTACAATAAATGTTGACATTTTCATAGATTTAACTAGACTGAATGTAGAACTGAATCCCTAAAATAATAATTTAACCCCATAAAAACAAAACAAAATGGCTATACATGATTATCAGGTGCTGTTGATCTGTGTACATGATGGTGTATACCAGCTTGTTATTCCCATGTTAATGCTTTCAGGTACAAGACGCAGGTATCAAGCTTCTGATGCAGATGCTGCTCGACTGGGAGGGTTAAAGTCGTCGGTGTAGTGGCACTGAGAACTCATGTCCACATTGACGTAGGTGTTCTCGATGTTCCTCCGCTGGGGGCCAGTGTTGTGTTCCAGCTGGGAGATCATATCTGTGATGTCACGAGCCACGTCTGCAAAGGATGGCCGG